TAGTTCCAATTTCTAACTGTGACGAATAAAGCTACAAGGAACATTCATGTTCAAGTTTCCTTGTGTGGATACATTTTCTCTCGGATAAACACTCAAGTGTGGAATTGCTGGGTCATGTGGTAAATGTATATTTCACTTTCTAAGAAACTGCCAAACTCTCTCCCGAAGTGATAACAAAAATGTACACTCCCATCTGATGCTCAAGAATTCCAGTTACTCCACATCCTCAACAACATTTGGTCTTGTCAGTTTTTATTTTTATTTTTAGCTTTTCTAGTGGACGTGCAATGTTGTCACACTGTGGCTTTTGCATTTCTCTGATGATGATGTTGAACAGCTTTCCCCAACTTGTGGACCACTCAGACATCCTCTTTTTTTGCAGTGTCTCTTTCATCTTTTGCATGTTTTTGATTGGTCCAAAAATAAGTTGTGTTCTTAATAAATAGGACTTACCACGCTTGCTCTGAATAAAGCCCTTCACAGATAGATGTATGAATTACAACCAATTCCACCCCACTTTATGGCTCAACATTTTATTTTCTCAATGGGGACTTAAAACAGAAATGATCAAATTTGTAATTTGGATAAAAATTGATATTGTCATGGGTGAGCGTGTCTTCTGTAGGAAGACTTTACCTATTCAAGATCATAAAGATGCTCTTCCATGGTTACTTTTTAATTTTACAGTTGTAGTTTTTAGGCTGGAGACTGTAATCCATTCACATATCACCCATGTTATAAGGCAAAGCCAATGCTTCCCTCCTCCCTCACCTACATCTGAATGCCCACTTATTCCATTCATTTGTTATAAAGAGTCTTCTCTCCCATTGAATCAATACAACAACCCCATAAGAAATCAATTGACACATATGAGTGGATTTCTTTATAAACTACTCTTTTCCTTTGATCTGTATTCCTCTCCCTACACTAATCTCAAACTCTCTTAATGACTATGACTTTGCAAAAAAAAAAAAAAAGCCTTAAATTGTAAAAAAAAAAAAAAAGTGCTGTCACTACTGCAGACCAAATGTCAACTTCCCCAAAAGCATGAGTAGCAGCCTTAATTCCCAATGTGTTAGTGTCTTGAGTAAGGATGTAATTAGGACTAAGTGGAATAATAAGGATGGGGAACAGATCTGATAGGATTGGTGTCCTATAAGAGAAAACTACATAGCTCTCTTCCTCAACTCACATGAGAAGAACGTGAGAACATATTCATGTACAAGGTAAAGAGGGTATTCCCATAAAGACTTGAACCACATGGCATCTTGATCTTGGACTATGTAGTCTCCAAAACTGTGAAAACCACATCTCTGTTTTTTAACCATCTTAGTTATGGTATTCTGTAGCCTGAGCTAAGAGTGCCAGTGTTACTCTTCATTATTTTGTCTCAGGAACAAGACTGGCACCACATGAGAAGAGAGAATAAGGCTATCTCTGGAACCAGGAGGAACAGAGTGACCACTTTGATATTTCCTGACCTTATAAAATTTATCAATTACTGTCAAAAGGAAAGTTGGAATGTATGATTTTTGTTGTGACTATGTGAACCCATAAATCAGCTTTAGATTATTTCACATATAAATTCCACTCTGAAACAAAATGATAATACAGCTCTCATTCAGGTGTCTTTTCACTGTTTGCAGTGTTCTGTAGTCTTGCAAGTATGTATGAATTTATCCCTACTTGATCCATATTTTTCTAGTTATCCTTATCTAGAAGTATAGTTTATTTTTATACATTGTCTTTGCATTCTAAAATCTCACTAAATTAATGTAATAGTTCAGATGGCTTTTTAGTAGATTTCTTGGGCTTACAATCAAGTAGGATGTGGATAAAAACAATTTTCCTTTTCCTGTCAAGTGTATCTTTTCTATTTTCTTATGATGAATACATAAGTATGGCAAGTATTGTGGATTTGTTTCTTTGTTGTTGTGTGTATGTGTTCATGTTACACATTTAGGATTCTCATAGTAAAGCTGAATAACAATAATGAGGGTGGATATCCAAGCTTAGGGAGAAATATTACCTAGAGGCTTTCTGATACATCCCTATGTGAGGTGGAGAGAATTTCCTTCTATTCCTACCTTGTTGAGTGTATCAGGCCTGAACATTGAATGTTGCTAATGCTTTTTCTGAAAGTGTTATGGTACACACACACACACACACACACACACACACACACACACACACACACTTTAACTCATTTTGAAAATAAAACCCACTTTTTAAATCATATGTCTCTTGAAAAACACTAACTTATAATGTTTTCTCCCATTCCCAGCTGCCTCTTTCTTTGGAATCATGGAAACAATGGACTCAGAGTTATATTGAAAAATGTTTTCTTGGACTCTAGTATCTGAAGAAGTTTATATAAAATTTGAAAATTCTCTTTATAAAATGACTGATAGAATTCACCAGTTTAGCTATCTAGGAGGTTTTATTTTGGGAGCATTTAAAAATTGATAATTCAATTTGTTTAACACATATTGCTATTTATATTTTTTTATTTATTCTAGTGTCAGGTTGGATAATTTCTGTCTTTCAAAAAACTTATCTGTTTCATCTAAGCTGTCAACTTTCTGGCTTTTAAAAATAATATTATCTCAATGAGTATGTCAACGGATTTAAGGTCGCCTAATAGCACCCTGTCTTTCCTGGTGTCGATTCTTTCCCCCTCCAGTATGGGTAGCGCAAACTTGAAAGTCTTTCCTCCAGTGTAAATTCTTGGAGTTGTCAGTCAGCAGCATCCTAGCCCTTTACAACACTCTCTGTGTCTCTGTCTCTGTCTCTGTCTCT